CTCTGTCTGATCAAAAATTGTAAATCCATTGTGGATCATCAAGGTACTGGGGTTGCACACACAAGTAACTTTTTTTCTTTGAGATAGTAATAAAAATAGCTAAGCCCTGTGACTGGGAAGGGAACTTTGGCTGTCTAAACACTGGCGTTCTTATTTAATTTAAATAGTCCAATACTACTGCCTTTCATCAGCCATGGCAAATTCTCCAAACAAACGTTATTTACATTGAATGGGAGTATTTACTCATTGTAGGCTATTACTCAAGAGATTTTGAAATAAGTCCAGGGTGCCAAAAGCTCATACTGTCCTCAGTCACATAAAATCCTTTCAAGACACGATATATTAAAGAGGAGGTTGGACAAGTGGGCTGCAATTCATGAGTGAGCAGTGGCAAAGATTTGCATGAGTGAATTCAAAGGCTGCTATAGTACTAAGAAACCCACAAACTGATGGTTTGAGGGGGAAGCTAGTACTGGGTGTTGAGTCTGAGAGAAAAGACATCTAGGGGAAAAGAATGTAGGCCCCACATGCTGTGGAACTTTGTCTTAAACAGTAACTCTGAAAAGGAATTGGGGGTCATGGCTGGATAACCAGCTGCACAGTAGCTCCCAGTGCAGTGCTTCAGTGAAGAGAGTTAGTGAGGTCCTTGGAGGTGTAAATGGGAATATCAAATAGGAGTAGGGAGGTGGTGGTATTTCTGTCTTCAGCATTGGTGAGGCCATTAATAGAACACTGTGTCCAGTTCTGTTGTCAGTGCTTCCAAAAGGATGTTGAAAAATTGGAAATGGTTCATAGAGCCACAAAAAAGATTCATGGTCTGAAAAACCTGCCAACAGAAATTGGTCCAATAAAAGCTATTACCTCACCCACTTCGCCCTACAGTGAGTTTCTTAAATCTGTGTAGTTTACCAAAGACTAAAACGTGACTTGATCAGTCTATATGTACGTGGGGAGAAGATTTCTGATAGTAGAAGACTCTTTAATTTAGGAAAGGTTTAACAAGATCCATTGGCTAGAAGCTGAAGCTATACCACTGCAGACTGGAAATTAAGCTCAAATATTTGAGGGTACCATTGGAACACTTGATCAAGGGATGGGGTGAGTTCGCCATCACCGGGAGTTCTGGATTCCTTTCTGAAAAGAGATGCTCTAGCACAACCAGAACTTGTGGGCTTGATGCAGGAATTACAGGGTGAAATTCTATGGTCTGTTTTATGCAGGAGGTCAGGTTACAGTATTGTAATGGGCCCTTCAGGCACTAAAATCCATTACATAAAGTAATGGACACAAGAATCAGTATTTCAATACCTTAGCATGTATAAACATTCTTATTGGAGGCGATGG